ATTTTTTAATCACCTTTTTATTTCATTATTTCATATTATTTTTTTTAATTTTTATTTATTTAAATTTGTTTTTAAAATCAAATTTTTTTTTCACCTAACTTTATTGCTATCACACAGGAGATAACAATCCCCTGTGTGATAGCAATTGGAGGTGACAGGTTCTCTTTATTGCCCCTGTCACCTCCAATACAGGAGTTCTAGCACAGCGCTGTGCTGGAACTCCTGTGACAGGTGAGAGAGGAAGAGCACAGCACAGCGCAGCACAGCTCTCCCCTCTCACTGTCTACAGTCCGCACGTAGCGGCAGGGTTACTTATAACTCTGCCGCTCTGATCACTGCAGTGAGGAGTCGGACTCGGCGGCGGAGGACGGAACCAGAGGAGAGAGGTAAGTGCAGGGGGGGAGGGGAGGAGGCTGCACACTGTTTACATGTGAAATCGGCGACATCGCCGAGTTCACATGTAAACGAAAAATCGTCTGCCTCACTCTACATTTAGCTCGGCTTGTACAAAGCAGGACTGTATGGAGAGAGGGCAACTTCCCCACAAGGACACCGCTGCCGCCCCTCTGCGCCCTGCCGCCCCGAGGCCAGGCCTTGGTGGCCTTGTGGGGAATCCGGGCCTGACTATACACCTCTACATTTCTACTGTATCTGGATAAATGAGAACCTTCACAGACTTTTAAGGATCTTGTTTTTATTTATCTTCTGGACAACATCCATTGTCCTGCACTGTACTAATTGTTCCTAAACTTGTATATGTTACATTTAAAGACCAATGCATAGATTTCTACTCCAGGCCGGTTCAATGTTATTCAGTCATGTTGAAAAGTGTGCCCAGTTCATTGTACAGTAGAAATTATATGAAGGGAAGGGAAATGAGGTGGGAGAGAGGGTGGAGACAAGAGGGGGGAAGGCATTATTCAGGTTTTAGGACGGGGTAGTGGAACTAGAAGAGCAAAGCACCCAGAATTCTGCTGCAATACACATCGACTCCAATCAGAAGCAGGACTCTATAGTACACAGGATATTCAAGTTAGGACTTCAGTAGCAGTAGAGGACTGATCCAACCATTCTGACCATACATTAAGGAATTTTACCACACACCTAATAATTTGATACATATCCTGATATAGCAGTAAATTGGAGTTAACCAATTGCCTCCAAAATAGGAGGCAATTGGTTCTTCCAGCTCATTGCAATAGCCTTCCGAGCATAGAAGAAAGCGGGCCAAGCAGGGGTCCTTCAGCTGTCGTGGGTGCCAGATCCTATACCAAACTCAACAAACATACTATATGGGGATGCCTGACCATGTAAATGATCAAAACAATATACTGTATATGCATATGGACATAATATTCGTAATATTTCACGGTACATTTGGCAGCACTACACTATTTACTGTGACTTTTTACTGACCCAGTTTGATTTCCTAAAGCCCCATTAAATGGTTTTGAACATCATTATGTTGCTCTTTTTTGGTAGCCATGTTATTTTGTTTAATTTCCTTTATTTTATTACATAATTAAAAACATATAGCACCAATAAAACATGCAGTTGTATATGAACAGACCGCACTATCCAGAGAATCCCAATACTGTAGATTGGAATGTAGGCAGCAAATGCCAGCACTGCACACCCCCAACCAGCTACAACCTCTCATGGGGTTTCACCAGCTACGGGTGAAACCCCATGTTTCACCCGTAGGCTTATTTATAGAGAGTGCTGGTATTTGCTGCTTTATACACTTTTATTCACTGTTATGCTGGATTTGCTGTGAATTGCAATAAAGTCTGAAGTATTGGAATTCTCTGGAACAGTGCGGTATGTTTGTATACTGCTACATTCCAAGGTGGAGATGCACCTATTAGACCAGCACCAGGAGAGTCCTGATGTCGGCTAAGGAATTGGAGCGGTGAGATTTCCTTTGGGTTCTACCAGTAAAACATGCTCATAATGAAAGTGAATATCGACACAGGCACCTTCTGCATTCCTGGGAGTTTGTCCCCTTTTAGGGACTGGATCAATAAGTCCAAACACGGTAGCTCTTAGTATTTAATTTGAAAATTTCTATACAATATTAGAAATCCCAGCCCTGTAGGTGACAAGACTCAGCACATTTCACTGAATATTTGCTTCTTTAGGAGGTCTCCCAGGCAGGGCCGGACTTACTCCCTCTGCTGCCCAAAGGCCAGGTTCCTCAATGCGCCCCCCACCAACCCCCTTCCCCATCCCCACCACACTCACCAGGGATGCGTTTGGGTCTCACCAGGGATGCGTGCAGGTCTCAGCAGGGATGCATGCAGATCTCAGCAGGGATCCATGCAGATCTCACCAAGGGGGCTGCGTTTGGGTCTTACCAGGGCTGTGTTTGGGTCTCACCAGGGCTCTGTAGGCATGGTTCTGCATGCGGCTCCAGGGCTGTGCTGGTGGGTGTAGGGCTGTCCTGTGCTGTGCCTGTGCAAGGAAGGAGGAGGAGGAAATGTGCTGCCGGACTGGCACTATCAAAGACAGCTTCCTGAGGTCCCCAGCAAGCTCAGGACCTCAGGCAGCCGAACTTCCTGCATGGCGTCCCTCTATAGAGGTCAGCAGGTAAGACTGCCAGCTCAGCCTAAATGAGGAACCTGAAATGGAAATCCAGCCCTGCTCCCAAGCAAGTGTATTTTAGCTGTTTGCCTGGTGTTCAGCTAGACTTTAGGCTGGGAAGACCAACCTCTAAAGTCAGAGCATTATGTGTACAGTAGGTTACTTGATGAATCTGGTTTATAGTCTTGCTTTATCGCATGCCAGGTGTTTGCAGCTCACTGACTTCAGGTTGGATTGAGAGGAGCCAGAGCGTTGATTTTGCATGACGATTTGCATGTTATTTTTATGCTTTGTGATCTCTAAATAGAACGTTCTTGCAGTAAATTCAGAAAGCAAGATTTGCCATAGGAAGGTTGAGTGATACAAGAGAAGAGATGGAAGGAGAATATCATTTTGCATGGCTGAGCCTCGTCGTTGCAGCAGGAATTGGCTTTGTACTTGGACTAATGATACACTCCTTTATAGTCGTTGTGAACGTTATGGACTGGTTGAAAGGAAGACCTGTGCCCTCGTCTGAGCGGGTTATCGCCTCCATCGGAATTTCAAGATTTGTGTTTCAGTCTGCTTGTCTCTTCGACATGTTTTTTGCAATTTTCCTTAATAATAACTACATACAATTTTGCCTGAATATCATGAAGGTCATGTCCAACTACAGCAGCATCTGGTTGACTACTTTGCTCTCCGTGATTTTCTGCACGAAGATCACCAACTTCCAAAATGCCTTCTTCCTGAAGCTGAAAACCATTGTGTCTCAGAAAGATGTCCATTTCGTTGCTGGTTCTGTAGCGCTGTCCATCTTCTATGGTGTCCTGCATGCCTTGCTTAACTGCACTGCAGTCCTAACAAACACAACACAAGCCTCTTCAGTCGCAGGAACAAGTAACGTGCAGATAAAACTGAAACATTTCATCTATTTTCTTTTGGGGAACATCGTGCCGTTCCTCATATATTTCACCTCATCGTTTATGGTGATCTTCTTCTTGTGCTTCCACATGATCAAGATAAAAACTTGTAGTACCTCCTCGATCAGTTTAGATAATTATTACACTGCTCTGAAATCTATGTTATGCTGCGTTTTATGTTATGCCTTTCATGTTGGCAGCAATTTAATTGCATTTTACTTTATTGATTCTCTTTCTGATGTATGGATCAATGTAATTTTGAATATTTTCCCTGCTCTGCACTCTGTGATCCTGATCTACAAAACACCCAAGCTGAAGACTCGGTTTTTAAGGTTGCTCTTGCATTGACATAGCTGTGCATTCAATAGAGAAGGCTCACAACCTAATGGACCCAGGTATACATTCATCAGAGCAGGTTAAGAACCCAATAGTCCTAGCTGTACATTCAATAGAGAAGGTTCCAAACTCAATAGTCCTAGCTGTACATTAAATAGAGAAGGCTCAGAACCCAATACAACTTGCTGTACATTCAATAGAGCAGGTTTAGAACCCAACTGACCTAGCTGTGCATTCAATAGAAAAGGTTTAAAACCCATTTGACCTAGCTGCGCATTCAATAGATAAGGCTCAGAACCCAATGGGCCTAGCTGTACATTCAATAGTGAAGGCTCAGAACCCAATAGACCTAGCTGTACATTCAATAGAGAAGGCTCAGAACCCAATACAACTTGCTGTGCATTCAGTAGAGAAGTTTCAGAACCCAATGGACCTAGCTGTACATTTAATAGAGAAGACTCAGAACCCAATGGACCTAGCTGTACATTTAATAGAGAAGACTCAGAACACAATGGTCCTAGCTGTACATTCAATATAGAAGGCTCAGAACCCAATACAAGTTGCTGTGCATTCAGTAGAGAAGGTTCAGAACCCAATGGACCTAGCTGTACATTTAATAGAGAAGGCTCAGATCCCAGTGAACCAAGCTGTATATTCAATAGAGAAAGCTCAGAACCTACTGGACCTAGCTGTACATTTAATAGAGAAGACTCAGAACCTGTCTTCCAAGATGTCTATTTGCTGAAGTTTGGTAGCCTACAGCTTTTCAAGAATTGAGAACTATAAACAAGCAATGGGTGTCTTGACATTCACGATTTTTAGGGACTACTCCACTACTTCTTGTGTATGCTGCACTGGACTATTCATAAGGGAACCTGTTACCTAACAGCCACCTCCAAGAGAGTCAACTTCCCCGCCTAAAATTACTAACCTGATGAGCAGCTTGATTGGTCAGCAATGAACAATATGGAAGAATTGGTACTAAGGTGCATGTGGTCGTGCATCAAACTGTGCAGCAAGCATATTGGATGAGTCCTAATACAGGAATCTTCAGGCAAGAGGCTTTTGGCTGGTCCTTAGGAGTTCTTGATGACTAGTCCAACTTTCCAATGGGTATATTGACCCATTCCAATGAACTAAGGCACACTCTTTTGTGGAGACTAAGGGAACCAAGTTTTACCATTAGAAAAAAACGTAAACCAGATCTACACCCAATCCCTAACAACTAATGTGATCTTTAATATGATATGTCATTTATGTCATTATGTCATTAGGTCATTAATCTTTATGTCACTTTAAAAGTTGTGTTTAATCCTTTTGAATCTGCATTTTCTAATAAAAGAATACCTGACTATCCTTCCATGAAGATCCTTATTCAGGAATGCAAGTTGTAGGATGTCATTGTTCTCTTATGTTGTCACTGTCACAATACTGAGCACAGGTGTCCCAACACCACGTGCAGGTACCTAAACAGATGAACCGAATATGTGACCACACTGCAGATACCACAATAATCTTTGTGAATAACAGTTTAATAGATATAGCAAACTACATAAACACAGGCAATCCAACCACCACCCGCAAGAAACAAATAAGAGCCACACTGTATACAAACGGCAAGGGCCGGGAGCCACAGATCGGGAGACCTCAGGAGTAAGGGTCAGGGTCCAAGGCAGAAACAGGATACTGGAGGGTCAGGAGTCAGGGTCCAAGGCAGAAACAGGATACTGGAGGGTCAGGAGTCAGGGTCCAAGGCAGAAACAGGATACTGGAGGGTCAGGAGTCAGGGTCCAAGGCAGAAACAGGTTGCTGGTTACTGGAAACAGGAAACTGGTTTACAGGAAACAGGATATGGCAACAATTACTGAAGCACAGGCCTCACTGCAGAGAGAGGTTAAATACCTTCCCTGAGCAGCAAGAGGTGGTGACTAATTGCTGGCAGATACCTGCAGGTGAGCACTGGAACTGCAGGATCAGGTTCCAGCTCCACAGTGCCACCCGGAGGTGCTCTGGTCCCTGACAGTCACCTTGTCAAATGCTTCCTTGGTCGAGACTGCAGGGGGTCACCTGCTGACACACATTACTCAGCCATGGCCCCTGTTGTCATTTAGGAAGCCAGTCCAGAGCAATGATGTGCAGCTGATGCTGGAGCCAGTACATGTAGCAAGGAAGAATCTTAAATGTTCTGGAGGATCCTTTCACCTTTTTTTTCCGATTGAGATGCGAAAAAAGGTGAAAACTGTATTTTATGAAAAAAGTAAAGCAATCATTTATTATAAACATTCCAAATAAATGTCATTCAGTTTGGGTTTATGTCTACTTTAAGGCGGATCAATCATTTTGTTGAAAAAATCATCATTGTGAATACAGCACTGACATTT